AAAAATACTTTTACCAAAAATTCAACCCCTTTTCGTTTGCTTTGTTTCCAATTGGCAGTTGGGCCCGCAACCTTCCTAAAAGTATTATTTATCTTTTTTAAATTTTTAGATTTGGTTGACGAATTTTAGCGTCTATCTAAAACTAAAAATGTTGGACAAGAATTATTTTTCTTTCGACTTTTCCCGAGTTTTTAAAGTACAATTTTTTGGAAAAATACCTCAAAAAAATGATGAAATTTAAATTTGAAAGCTGAATATCTTCCAGGCGTTAAGCTGCCGATACAAAGTGTCTGGGTATTATTTATAGTTGCATTGGGCACCTTTTCAGAACTGCAAAGTTCTATGCAACCAGATGTAACATACTTAAGTTATGTGAAAAAAGCATTAATTTCAGGTAAAATTATTTTTGAGTTGTTTTGGTCAAACGGCTCCAAATTGACCGTTTATCCATAGATTCTAATGAGCAATACCTTAAACGACGCCCAATTAATGCGTCTATCTAAAACCAAAAATGTTGGCCAATAACTATTTTTTCGACTTTTCTCGAGTTTTTAAAGTCAAAATTTCGAAAAAAAAAATACAGCAAAAAATTATGAAATTTGAATTTGAAAGCTTAATATCTTCCAGGCGATAAGCTGCAGATACAAAAGGTCTAGGTCGGATTTATACCTGCATTTGTCAGCTTTTCAAAACTGTAAAGTTCTATACAACCAGATATAAGATACTTAAGTTATGTGAAAAATTTAAGCACAACCTCTGAAAAAAACCATGAACAAAAATACCAGATTTTAAAATTTAAAAAAAAAATAATAAAGTACTACACAAATTTTTAAATCCCTAAATCTATCAGAAAAAATTATTTTGGTTCACAGCCTAAATAAAAAGTTCAATTTTGTCGAGTAGTGTTACCAATTGAACAACTTTTATGGGAAAGTAAGATTCGAATCGTTTTAAGTGTGTGTTTATGGGTGTAGTTAATTAAATCGCTAGATAAATAGTGCGCGATTTCGAGGCCGCTTAAAAAGCGGTTGGTGGCACCGCGGAATGGAATTGAAATTGAAATTCCAGCGGATGTGATTTCTGTGTCACCCCTGATACTCGCACTTAAAACCGTGTGCACAGTTATAGCGTTGAAAGATCGCTATTTTTTTAAATTTCGAAATATCACTTGAAAACCAAGTCGCTGCTGTAGCCGCGACTCTACTTTTATACCCGTACTCAGTCGGTATACATTAGACTGGGCCAAAATTTTACCAAAAAAAAGGGGACACCTCTCAATTTTGTTCTTTGTTATTCAATAAAATTATTATTTTTTTTTATTTTTAGTTTAATGTTCGGGGGCTGCTACCACGAAAAGAAAATAAATAAAATAATAATATTTTTTATATAGTTACTTTTAAAAAAATTAGCGATTGGTGAAAATCAAGAAGTTTAGCTGAGGTTGATGTATTTAGACAACTAGCTCACAAAAACTTGTGCAGGTTTTTTAACTGCCAATAACACTACTCGACAAAATCCACCTTTTTTGTTCCTCAAGGATCCAAACCGACTTTTTCTGATACAATTTTTTAAAGGATTATGGTTTTTTTTCTATGCCAGAACTTTTTTTGAAGAATTTTCGAAATCTGTTATTTTTTGTAAAGCTTTTTTCAGAAGTAGCGCTTCTTTTTTTCACATAACTCTACTCTTTTAAAAAGGTAATTAAAACAGCTACAAGGTAAGCCTAATCGCTTTGTGATTTCAGCATACCGTCTGGGAAATATAAAGCATTAAAATGCAAAAATTATGTTTTCTTTTCGGTATTTTTAACGAAGTTTTGACTTTAAAAACTCGGGAAAATTCGAAAGAAAATTATATCCTGTGACCTCTATTTGTTGTTGAAGGCCCCCTCTATTTCTAGGAAGGCTGCAAAGGCATATTCCTTATAGCTTAGAGACTTTTCGATTCTCCCAACAACTTCGTTCAGTGCGGTACCCAGTTAGGAGGCATCCTTCAGCCATGGCAGTATGTGCAGGCAAGCTACTTGTAGCATGGCTGGTCTGATATCATCTGGTCCCGGTGACTTTTAGGGACTGAATGATTTAATGGCCCAGATAATCTTGTCTGGTGCCATTATATCTCGTATGAGATCCTCGATTTCCTCTCCTTGATGATCCTCAGTATCGTTGGTGGTGATAGATTCGTCACCGCTGACATCTAAGCAACCCAGGAAGTGGGTACTCATGAGGAGTTCTAGGGATTCTTAGCTGCTTTCTGCGAAGGTACCGTCCAGCATGCGGAGCAGTCCTGGTGTCGAAGCCTTGAGGCATCAGTTTTACCACCTATGGCATCGCAGAAGGCTGGCTACCCATGACTTTTACTTTGGGAGTCGGCTGATCGGGCAGGATTTGAGAAAAGGCTTCCTGTAGTGCGCCGAAAAGGAACACTCAATGGAGACGTGCCAGTGCTCGATTTTGGGGGAGTCGCTATTCGAGGCAAGTGTTATATCTATAACCTCTGCATGGTTCTTGTTGCGGAAGGTGGGGTTCGCTCCGTTTGCACACAAGAAGATTTTTGGACAGAATGTACTCGAACAGCGAATCTCCTCTAGAAATTTTTTACCCGTACTTCCCCAGAGGGTGTGATGGACATTCGCGTCGCAGCCTAAGACAGTTGAGTTGATCAGGGCCTGGAATCCAGCGAGGGTGAAGTGTGTCTTCATACGTCAGGTACAGGTTCTTCCCGTCCTTCCTGACACATAGTGCCACCGTTAGGTCCGGAGTGCTGTACCCGGCAGAAAAAAAGAATATTAAGCTCGTTCCTTACCTCGTTACGGGATCTTGGCTTATATACCCTTTTACACTGCCGCATCATTGTCGAAGGTGTAGAAAAATGATGCGATGCTTTTACACCAAAGCCACATCTTTTTCGAAGCATCTGTCAGCTGTTCGGCCTACTACTAATGTAAACAAACTCGGTGAGCAAGAAGAAGAGAGAGATTAGGAGGTGGCGTTAACCCGTATCAGACGTGGAGGCCAAATAAATCTTTAAACCAGGGGTCGGCACACAGACTCACACATTTTTTTGGTGCGTTTGTGTGCGAAAACAACAGACACGAAGTCAAATACGTTACTTATTTCTCTGCCGCTGCGAAAGTCGAAGAATTGTGCATAGGGCACAAGAATGCTTCTCTGCCGCTGAGGCAAGCGGGCAGAATATGAAGCCGTTTGTGCATAGGCCGAAGCATGTTTCTCTGCCGCGACGTCAGCAGAGCAGAATTTTCTCTGCTGGTACGTCATCAGGCAGAATAACGAAACCACACGAAGTCTTTACGCTGTACGTGTGCCGACTGCGCCGCCCGAAATTTGTTCCTATGCACAGTGCATACGACGCTGCCGACCTCTGCTTTAAACTAATCACGGTTGAAAGTAACTTAAAAAAAAGAAGAAGAGGGCAAAAGCATTTATATTGGAATTTAAAGAAATTAACAAAATAATGAACGATTTATTTTTAAATGTGGAAAACGGTGCATTTTGGAGCTTCACTACGAGCACTCAATTGAATTTACTGTTTGACAGTTGTTTGCTATCGATACCCCGTCGATAGCCCGAATAATTTCAGTATTTTGCAAAAATACTAGACAGAATACGGCAACACTTGTCAATGATTCGCCGCGTGATTAAAGATGCTGCCGCATCATTGTCTTCTTCTATCCATAGGGATGCCCATATGGGCATCATTGTCGCATGTTCCATTTAACGGAAAAATCCAATGATGCGACCCGATGTAAAAAGGCTATTACCTGCGGGGGTATCTACGTAAATTTTTGTTTGCTACATCTGTAATCTACATCTACAATGTAGAATATACATCTCATCCGCCAGAGGTCTCGGCAGAGTGCGAGCGAAAAAAAAAATCAATAGAGGTCTAAGCGCTGGAGGAACTGGGGTTAGAAACTGAAAATTAATGTCTTCATTCTTGCTAAAATAATGATCCGATCTAACCCAGAAGTTTGGTTACGCAGCCAAATAGTGGACTTAAATATATAGATTATAGCCAGTGGTGCAACAGTAGTGTAAATCTTTATTATTGTTCGTTGTTTGCACTGCCCACTGTACTAAATTGTCATCTACATACATATATACATATTCATGATCCCGCACTGCAGCGGCCTATGCAGGCGTTCTCTTTCGCCTCTTCATCTCGCGCCTTCCTTTGCTTTGCTATCACTCTCTCGATCTGTCGCTCTCTCGCTTGCATTAGGGCACGGGCAGTTCGGCCCGCCTGCCCTTTGATTCAGTCTGGACCTAGCAACCAATTCTTGTAAATCGTTTTGAAATCGAGCTATTCAATCCGACACCGTCTTGTACCGACCCCTGCGTCTATAATCTGAATCCAGCTAACTGTCCAACCGACTCGTCATCAAGCTAACTCGAACCTTTTCGCTATCCATTCGACTCTGTTTCGCCTTATATACTGTTTACAACAATAAACCATATTAATCTGAACAACCATTGTCTCGTTAATAAACATATCGCAAAATAACGCTACTGAAGAAGTTCAGTAGCTCAACAACAGATTTGGCAATCATTCTCTGCGATACTACTTTTATCGTTTTATCGATCTTCAAAATTTTGGATGCCAAAGATTTTCGCCCTTTGTAGTGGCGGAGGGGACGGGGCGAACTTTTGAAGTGCACTTGTAGCAGTGCAATGTCACATGACTCTGAAAACCAAACTTGGTTGCCCTAGCTCTTATAGTCTCTGAGAACTAGGCGCTCAATAAGATGGACAGACAGACATGCCTATATCGACTCGGCTATCGATGCTGATCAAAAAAATATACTTACTATATGGGGTCGGAAATGTTTCCTTCTATGCGTTGCACACATCCACTTTGACCACAAATATAATATACTCTTCAAGTACGGGTATACAAATACTTAAGTCTATTTTTAGTAAAAATTTTTGTATTATACACTAGTATTGCAATAATAATAAAACTATTATTTATATGTTTAGAAATGAAAAGTTTTACACTTGCTGCGATGAACCTTACCTGGACATCACATTCAATATAACAATGAGAAGAAAAACTCTTTTTTACACTGTTAACATAATTATACCGTGCATGGGAATTTCTTTTTTGACTGTACTAACTTTCTACTTGCCATCCGACAGCGGAGAAAAGGTTTGTAAAATATATATGTATGTCGAAATCTTTATAGTATTATCCATTTTAATTCTATTTTTAGGTTACATTATCAATTTCCATTTTGATCAGCCTTCATGTGTTCTTCCTTTTGGTTGTTGAAATTATACCTCCGACATCGCTGGTTGTACCTCTGCTGGGAAAATACCTAATATTTGCCATGATACTCGTTTCAATAAGGTAATATTTTATTTTTTAAATAAATTCATGCTTTTTATACTGTTTTATCTATTTAAAGTATCTGCGTAACCGTCGTTGTGCTAAACGTTCATTTCCGTTCTCCGCAAACTCATAGAATGGCTCCTTGGGTAAAAAGAGTTTTTATTGATTTCCTGCCCAAATTTCTATTTATAAAGAGACCAACATATAATTTTGAAACAAGGTAAGAAATATTGTTAAGCTAGTGAGATTTTTTTACTAGCTGTTACGACATTTTTTATATATGGGCATATCCGCGGGTCGCGAACGTACGTTCGCACGCTTTTAATGCACAAAAAAGATAGAAAACAAAAACTTTCCAAGACTTTTTTTCTGCGTTTCAATAGCATTTTGTTAGCTCTATGCTTAGTGCAAATGATGGGGTTCATCGAGTTTTAGTTTTTAAAATAATTTAAAAAAACATGCGGTCGCGAACGTACGAAAAATAGAAGTCGACTTTGACTTAATATAGAAAAATGCAATTATCTGCGAATTGGAACGGAATATTCTTCACCGATAAATTGAATTTAAAAGAGGATTAATGTAGCTTTCTATAAAGTATATTAACATAAAATTATCTTCATTGGTTTTAAAAAAATTAAATTAAGTACCGGTCGCGAACGTACGGGTCGCGAACGTACGATTTTTCCATATGTATTTTAAATTTTTTCACCTTACGTTTTCCCTTGAATCAGTTCATATTTCCCTTAAAACCAACTAATTACTCCATTTTATGTACGTAATAACATTTATAGTAAGAAGAGAAAATTGTATTTAAAATGAAAAAAATGAGCTGCTTTTTCGAGCAATTCATTTTACTTTTGTGGATCGCTTTTAATTTTATTGAGATATCGGGTCTGTTTTTCACTTGTTTTAGCCATCTACGAATATTTATATGCGTGTTAAACAATTAAAAGTAAAAGTAACAAATAAAAAAAATACTTATGGTCGCGAACGTACGCTACTTCGAAAATCAAAATAAAAAGTTTGGTTAATAATAACCCCAAAGTTTTTTTATATTTAAAATAGTTACACAAAACTTACTTTACATATGCAGTTTAAGCCACCTGCTTGCATTCAATGCAAAGCAATTACAATAAAATGATGTTTTCGGTCGCGAACGTACGATTAGAACATAGATAAGAAGCAAAATAAAAATTAACCGTTAACTGAAGATTTTTTTGGTCTCTGCATTTTTCTCTTCTTAACAGATTGCAATAGAGAGATTTGGTAGAAAGAGTGCAAACATATCATATGTTTTGCATGCAAAATAATTAAATATAAAAATGCCTTTTAAAAAAGCTAAAAGTGAAGAAATCACATTTTTCTGCGCCGCTTCATCTAGTGCTCCCGTTTGAAGGATGTCCTCTTCCGGTGGGTTGATGCAGTCTGTCCGCTTGGGATTGCGGTCTCTCCTTGTTCCATTTGATGCTGTACACTATCCTATAGTGCTCCGAAAAGGAACACTCAATGGACACGTGCCAGTGATCTATTTTGAGGGAGTAGCGAATTCGAGGCAAGTGTTATATCTATAACCTCTGCATGGTTCTTGTTGCGGAAGGTGCGGTGCGCTCTCCGTTTGCACACAATAAGATTTTTGGGCAGAATGTACTCGAACAGCGACTCTCCTCTAGAAATTGTACCCGTACTTCCCCAGAGGGAGTGATGGACACTCGCCTCGCAGCCTAAGACAGCCCTCCTTCCGTGCTGCCCTTGAATCTAACGAGGGTGGGTCTTTGTCTTCAGACCTCAGGAATTCCGAGGTCAGGTACAGGTTCTTCCCGTCCTCCCTCTTATATAGTGCCACCGTTAGGTACCTGGTACCTGGAAGAAAACAGAACATTAAGCTCGTTCCTTACCACGATACAGGTTCTTGGCTTACCCGCGGGGTGTGGAATGTGAAGGCGGTATCCGCGACCGTTCAGTCCCCGAACCCTTTCACTTACGATCCAGGGCTTTTGGGTGAGGGCCACATCCACCGCCCTCTCCTCCATAAACCGCAGCAGGTCCCAAGATGGTACTCTTGAGTGATGCAGATTTATGCACCCTCATGCTGTTTAGCGCACCTGGGGTGTCGCGGTACTGCTACCCATACCAAAAGATATGCGGCAGTCTGTTGCAAGGAGTTTGGCAAGGCTTTCCTGACCAATACTGATCCAGAGTTTCTTGCCGTTCCCCTTGTCTTGCGCTATCGTACTTGTGATGGTACAGTCAGATGTCTCCAGGATCCGGTTCTGTGCCTTGATCCGACAGCCGCTTGTGTAGGGTCTCAGCCTACGTCTTCTCGTCCGTCACAAGTAGTGGACCCGAGTCGACCTGGAAGTTGGGAGCCGTGACTTGTGGCTCCGGATTCTGCGGCTCCTCGTTGCATCCGAGTCGAAAAAAGGCCGTAGCCAACTCTGCCTCCGACACTGAGCGACCAGTGAAGACGAAGCTTCCGTCTGTGGTTCCTGGTTACAGATCCTCTATCGTCCTTTTCCGTCTGCGGATCCTTCTGTTGCTTGTGGCACTACACGATTTGGCAGCCAAGCACTCTACTGCCATCCCGGGTTTTCTGCAGTCACAGGATATCGACGCCGGGGGGCCTGCGCTCGCACTCACCGCCAATCACCGCCGGTACTGGGTCTCCGACTCCCTGCACCTTAACTTTTGAATCGTTATCGGACATTCCCCCCTTAACGGATGCGTTTTATACCTACTACATTCTGACAGCATACGCTACCGCCGGTATACCTCTTGGGTTCCTTACGCTTACTAAGCCCCCTCATCGCGACAAGATGGTAGTTCTCCGAGGGGGAAAGAAAAGAAATGATAGCTAAGAAATAGTACTAATTACGGGAAAGGTATGTTAGGATTAGTGATTTAAGAAGGGGAAGGAAATTAGTGGTGGATATTATCAGGTAGAGCGAATTATAATCTGAGCATAAGACCATAAACGGTTCATGCAAGGAATAATTTGTTCTACACAGTGGAAGGAACAAAGGCATAACTTTTATAGTAGATCTAATAGGAATCTTAAAGTTTATGCGGCTCAACAAGTCAGGGCTATCCAGCTCACCCTTGCTTAGGTTGTGAATAAAATCACACCAGGCCATTTTCTACGACTAACTAAGGTTGGAAGGTTTATCAAAGCAATCTACGAGGGTAATTCCAAGTTCCAATTTTACTACATGTAAAATTCCAAAATGTCAAAACCAGCATCGGTAAAACGGTAAAAAGTGATTTTCGGAGGGTTGGTCAACCGACTCTCCATAGATTTTAATGAGCAATGCGCCGAAATAAACGACGCCGAATTAATACAACTATACACAAAAAAATAAATAACCCAAAATATAGTATTTTCGACTCTTCCATAGTTTTTAAAGTCAAAATATTGCAAAAAGTAACGCACAAAAATCATCGTTTTTGCATTTGAAAGCTTAATATTTCACAAACTGTAAGGTGAAATCACAAAGTGATTGAGTCAAATAGCTGCATCAATAAGCTTTTCAGAATGGCAAAGTTTATTACAACCAAATGTTACATACTTAAGTTATGTTAAAAAAAAGGCGCTACATAAAAAAAAAGATAAAGAAAAAATACCACATTTAAAAAATTCTTCAAAAAAAGTTCTGCCATAGAAAAACAAAATATATCATTAAACAATTTCTAAGCCCCAGTGGGCCTAGTGCCGGGAATCGTAGTTACACCAGTCCTTAGAGCCACGCTTGGGGACCCATAGAGCGGCGAGTGATAACCGACCGAGTCCCAGACGGCGAACGTGTTATGCCGGGATTGTGTGTGACGGACTTAGGCATAGTGCCAAGAGACCCTGGCCCCAATCCTCAGAGCCAACGGTGTCGCGCCTAAAGACAATCTGAGAAAGGGGCGCGTGGTCAATAATGATTGTACATGTACCATTCAGATTCTACAACTTTTCCGCTAGGGGTTGCTCGCGCACTGAACGCGGCAGAGTGTGCGAGCGAGAAAGAGAATGAGTAGCGTGTCTCTGGCTGGGGGAGGCGGAGGAAGCAACTAAAAATAAATTTCTTCATTCTGGCTATAATTATGATTCGATCTGATTCAGATCCGGAAATCTGGTAGATATGGCCATTCTCTACGATGCTGCGTTTTTAATTTTATCGTATCTTTAAAATTGTGCCTGCCACATATTTTCGTCCTTTGTGCGGGCAGAAGGGGGCGGGGCGAAATTATGAAATACACTTGTAGCAGTGTAATATCACATGAGTCTGGAAACCCTAGCTTTGGTTGCCCTAGCTCTTATAGTCTCTGAGATCTAGGCGCTCAACAAGACGGACAGACAGACAGACAGACAGACGGACAGACAGACATGGCTATATCGACTCGGCTATTGATGCTGATCAAGAATATATATACTTTATGGGGTCGGAAAATTTTCCTTCTCTGCGTTACACACATCCACGTTTACCACAAATCTAATGTACCCCTTAACTCTTTTTGAGTACGGGTGTAATTATATCTTGTGTTCTCTAAAAAGGGTTTTACATTGTGTACCTGACCGCGTTCCTTTGTTCCCAATTGGCAGTTGGGTTAACGAATTTTTGCTACAAAGTTTCTCCATAGATTTTAATGAGCAATACCTTAAACGTTGCCTAATTAATGCACCTATACACAAAAAAAATGGAGACAAGATATAATTTTTTTTTCCACTTTTCCTGAGCTTTTAAAGTCAAAATTTTGAAAATAAAAAAATACCGTACAAAAAGCGCCGGCCCATGGCAGCGCAAAGAGAACAGAGCTAATCTCTTACGCACAGCATTGCCAAACTGACTGCGCTCTTGAGTTGTTTGCCCTTTCCCGAAATTCGTCAGCCGACGTAGGCTGTGAGGGAGGCTCGTATGCGTAGCAGAATGCACTTCAAAATCAATCAAAAACAAAAACTATTGTTATCGCTTCAACACGGTCCACCTCGGGTCCGCCTGTTGTTAACTCTTGTCCATAAAACTCCCACTCACCTTGCATGGCAAATAAAGAAACCTTAATATAACCGAACAAACAAAACTGTGTCGTGATTTCAATCAAATTATAATGTTCGATCTAACTCTAAGCTATTGAAAAAGCCCGATAGCTCACGTCACGCCCCGACGTGATTAAAAGTATATATATATATATATATATATATATAAACACAACCGCCCACGCGCCCCCCCGCGCCAAACAACG